CAAAAGACAATATAAAAAAGTTTGTTTTTGTAGACATTTTGCTCAATCATTGCTTTGATATTTATTTAGATATAAATTTGAAATATAATGTGAAATTATATTCAAAAACATGCCTTACAATAAAAAAAAGTAGTATAAAGTTTATATAAAAAAGTTTATTCTTGGGATTTATTTATTTGTTTTGTTTTATTTTATTTATAACGAGATGTTTATAACGATTGAGAGAGAGAGAGAGAGAGAGAGAGAGAGAGAGAGATATTTAATATAAACTGTAAATGTATATTTCCAACACACTTATATTAATTAAATATTATATTTAAATAAAATAATTAATTTTATGGAGGTATTTAATGTCTTTTATTAAATAGACAAATCTATAATATTTTTATTCATTTTAGCCATGTTTATGTTTACTGTATAGTAGTATACAGTGTATGTTATATTAAAATCTAAATTATAAGCTGTTATAAATATAAAATTAATATATTTAAAATATAAGTTAAATTCATGCAAACATTTTGGGAAGTTTAATTTGTTTGTTTAATTTTTAATATAATTATTTTTTCAGTGCATATCGTAAGCTACCGGCGCTATCATACAAATCCAATGCCGTTAACAAGCGTATGACCCGATGATGAAGCGGGTGAATGGCATGACCCCCACCGATGGACAGCCATTCAATCGGCTATTATTTATACTCATATTCAACATCACGTTATTAACGTATATATTATGCGCGGAATATTCTGTTGCCAAGAATAAGATTCAAAGTGCAGGTATTTTTTGAAACAATTTTATGTAACCTTGTTTATATTACACAATTTCTATATTATATTTACCACTAAAAAATATTATTATTTTTACTTTTATTTGTAAATTTAATACATTTTATAGCAATTTGTTTAATATAAAATAAAATATAATACCGTGTATTAGATAAATATTGAAATACAATACGTTTGACACACATTTGTCGTAACAAATTGATTTTGATAGAAATTATTTTTATTGCCTGGTAATTAAATTACTCTATTATATAATATCTCATATTATTTTTCAACAGCACTTCTCTCTGGCATTAAATTACCCATTAATACGATTGAAGATCAAACAGGTATGGCATCTAATAAACTGTAAATTTTTAATTAATAGTATTTTACATTGATTAAATAGAAAATCGTATTATTTATTGATTGGTAAAATATTTTAATTAAAATTTAAACTAATTTAAATATATTCTAAAATAAATTAAAGCTAAATTAAAATATATTTATTCAGTATTTCTATTAAATATTTTAAATTCTACACAATTACTTGTTTAAAAAATAATTTTTACATATAAAAATATTTTTAAACTAATTTCATGAATTTAAAGCCAAACAAATCAACAGAATCTATGTTTTGCAGCAAAACGTTAGCCTAAAATATATTCGCGTTTAATATTCTGACGATTCGTGTAAATTCTGTACACATTCTGTGTGTTGTAATACTACTAATAATAACAACACAGTAGTCAATGAGGGGAGACACGAGGCATACGTACGGATCATTTGTTCAAT